TCTGCTTCCACTTGCACTTAGAGGCAAACTCCACTTATTGTATGACTATTAGCATCAGGAGCATCAGGTTTTGTTATCACCTGTCAACAGAGCAGTTCCTGATGACAGCTGTTAGCTATCTCCATACATAAAGCTGGTCTGAAAGCTTTCACGTCTTCTCAACCCTGACACCAGTGGAGGTGTGGAGGTTTTGAAACCTTTTGTATTGGTTCATTTTAGGTTTATCTTGTGAAAGGGGTTTTACACAGCAGGGCAACATCTGATATTCTAACTACCACATATATAAATGCTTACTTAAAGGGATAGTTCTCTCAAAAATGATATTTCTGTCATCATTTACTAACCTTCATGTCTTTCCAAAACACAAATGAAGAAATTTGTAATGAAACCTGAGAGATTTCTGTTCCTCCATTGAGAGTCCACGAAACCAAAACTTTCACTGTACAAAAAATTCATAAAGACATCTTACAAGAAATCCATATGAACCAAGTGCTTTAATCCAAGTTTTGTGAAAAGACGAAATTGCTTTATATGATTGTAGCGTCTGGACCAATCAGACACACCATTTTTCATTTGATAGAATTGACAAGACAGTTGACCCTGAGAGGTCAGCTAAATATCTACAGCGGATCTAAATATTTATAATTAATTATAACTAGTTATGATTAATTATTCATATTTCCCCATGAGCTGATTCGCTACATGATGTACAGATTTTATTGAACTTTTATTCACATATAAACATTGATCTAGGCACATTGAGCTCATCAAATATGGTAATGTCACGGGTGACACACACACGAGGGACGAGGAGACGCTGGAGAATACTTTTAACAGGACTTTATTTGCACCAAGGAACCAAGGGAGACGAACACAGGAAGACGTTCACACGAAGACCTTCAACATCGGACAGAGAACTAGGGACTGGGAACACTTTATATACACACACACAGGAGGAGGGGATGACGAGACACACCTGGGAGCCATGACACATCAAGGGAAACACCTGGGAAGAAATCAACTTAATCAGGGGAGGAACAGGAAACAAACCAAATAAGGGCATGGGAAGGCACATGGGGAGCAGGACACACACGAAACATGGAACAGAGTCTGACAGGTAAACACAGAAGCTCAATCATACTTTCTTGACACATGAAAACCAAACCTCATTGGTTTCCACGCATCAAGCAAGCATGTTTGAACATCCATTCACCATAATTGATGTGCTTTATGTTCCTGCTCTATGTAAATCTGTTCATCATATAAAGCAATTGTGTCTCTAGATTCATATGGATTTACAATGTTTTTATGAACTGTCAATGTTTTGGTGTATTCAGCTTGGAGGGACAGAAATCTCTCAGATTTCATTAAAATATATTCCTTTGTCTTTTAGAAGATGAACAAATGTCTTACGGGTTTGGAACGACAGGGGGTGGGTAATTAATGACAGAATTTTCATTTTTGGGTGAACTTACCCTTTAAGAAAAATATCTTTAAAAAACATCCTTTCATCAATAAGATTCTTGTACTTTTTTCAGTCTTTCTGAAAAATATATATATTTTTTTTAAACTTTCCAATCGACAAAGAAGTAGTAATAAGCCTATTTAATATTTGATGGCACTTTTTACTTTCTGCTCTCTCTTCAATAGGATGTCAATAGGACTAAGTTCACAAGACTCAAAACAAGACAAAAACATGGATACTTGCTTAATGGCACTGATGGTGGGAATTTGATCATTTTGGGGCAAAAATGAGCAAATCAAAATTGTAATATGCTTTACACTTTTAATCTGCTACCAAACTATGGTCTACCAATCGGTTCGGGAAATATTTGAAGGCTTATTCACTACTGAAGACGCAAATGCTTTAAGCTACGCAAGCTCAATTTCATGCATCACTGTGTTCTAAAATGTTTTAGATTGCAATGAACTCTATGCACCATCGCATCCACATTTAGCCTCACTGGTCACTGGAACTTTTGGTGCAGCACAGAGTTTGGAAACTGTAAGAAAATTAAGCACAAAATTAAATCCTGAGGATGGGTCAAAATCAACATTTCTTATTTTAATGAATTTGTAATGAACATATTTTTCCAATTATGCCAAGCTATAAAATATTTCATTAGGTAGAAATTGTGAACAAAAAATATTAGAAAGATATGGGGTCTTTGATTATTGTTGTGGACAATGGGGCAGCCTAATCATAACACAACACAACTATGCATTGCATTCTCAGTGTGGCCACAAGGGACGCTATAATGAGCAGTAACACTCCAAAGAGAAAGGAAAAATTGAAATCGCATCATATGACCCCTTTAACTGTGTTCTATTGTCCACTTTCGCCTTCAGATCAACTTCTCTCATGGCAAAGCAGCAGTTTGTAGACAATTGAATATGTTTATAATATCTACATGTACAGAAACCTGAAAAATTACATCCAGTTTAAAGAGATACATAAAGGTAACTCTATCGTCCCCTTGAGGTTTCCTAGTGCTATAGTAATTTTTAAGCGTGCATGTGTGTACAATGGTTTTTAGTGTGTGGGCTAAACATTTGGGTCAATGTTTGCATACATTCAAAGAGTATATTTGTGGCCTTAAAGCAGGGTGGGGCACTCGTTACGCAACAGCAGGGTGCAGTACTAGAACCACTGGGCAAAAACTGTATCTCAAATGTTTCTCATAGACACAAGTGAGATTAAATGAAGAGCAAATGAAAAAAATTGCTTAGTAATCTCACATCTATCTCAGAAGTGTTTCAGAAGAGTTCTAAACAATATCAAAATAAATAAAATAATAAAAGTCCAAATAATTGCCAAGTCAGAGATTTCAGATTGAAGACCAAGACCAAATTATCTTAACCATGTACTATACATTAATTTCCCCAGTTCTACTTCTACTATATGACAACATTTTGCATTTCTCCTAAGGAATCTGAGACAAATCTAATACTTCAGTGGAATCTGTGGAAAAACAACCTCTGAGCAAAAAAATTTCCTGATGCTAATTAATTCTTCATTTTTGTGATGCCTAATGCCTAAAACAAATTTTCATACAATATTACATACAACATGTTTATAAGGATACTAATAGGAATGCACAACATGTCTGTACCATAATAACTTTAATTTAGTTGGCATCGTCGGTATTGGATAATTAATTGTTCACGCTCATTTCCCCTATTTTTACATTTCGAGTAATTTTGCCATCATCTAACACTCACTTAAAAAGAATCTTCTAATCTTAACCCTAATAATTTAATAACACTGTAAAATGTCATCTTTAGCAAATCTCAAAATGAATATCCATTTTTCATACTGTACTCAATGATGTGATGCCAAAATTTACTTACTATTGAAAAATTAGAAATTTTAGTGTATTATTTTAATGTATACAAAAAAAGGCTACATAAAAAGGTAAAAAAAATAAAATAATAATATTGATTGTAACATGAAAATACTTATGAGCTTATATCGGCAAAACAAAAGAACCACAAGCAACAGCTTGATCATAAATCTATAAATACTCACAATCAGTACAACTCTCAATTTGAATTTTATAGTTTTGAGTTTTAGTTTATCTGTTTCTCATGACTGAGCATTATCTCCATTATTATTTATTTATCCAGCATTATTTTTATCTCCGCAGCTATCTAAATTCTCATCTGCAGTCATCATGGCGTATAAAACATCACAGCAACACATTCAATTACGAGTCAGAAGAGGATGGATGGATACGCCAAGAATTGTGATCACTGCGGGGACCTTTCGAGTCACTGACTCTAGTGAGTGAGTCTCTCCAACTCGGTTTACCCAGTAACCCCTCTTTCTACACCCACCTCACCACTGACAGCGCCGTCGCCTAGCAACCCAACAGGACACGTGCACTCAGAGTGGGAAGTTGGCCGAGTGAGACAGAAAGAGGTGGTGGACAAGTAGTGTGAAGAGGTGAGAGAGAAATAAAGAGAAAGGAGGAAAGAAAGGGAAATATTTGGGGTTTAAAGGCATCTTAAAGAATTAGTTCACTCCTGAATTAAAATTTCCTGATAATTTACTCACCCCCTTGTCACCCAAAATGTTGATTTCATTCTTTCTTCAGTCAAAAAAAATTAAGGTTTTTGAGGAAAACATTCCAGGATTTTTCTCCATATAGTAGACTTCAGTGGTGGCCAACGGGTTAAAGGTCCAAACTGCAGAACTTCAAAATCGTCCGACATCGTTGTTTTACCTTTTTTTGTAAAGGGAATTTGATTTTCTTTGCATTTTCTTTGTAAACACTAGGTCGGTACTTCCACCTACGTCACGCACTTTCCAACGTGATTACGTAATGTGTGAAGTCGAGCTAGTGCAAGACGAGAAATTGTGGTTAAAAAAGTATGTACATTTTTTTTTTCTTAGAAAATGACCAATTGTTTTGCTAGATAAGACCCTTATTCCTCGGCTGGGATTGTGTAGAGCCCTTTGAAGCTGCACTGAAAATGCAATTTGGACCTTCAACCTATTGGCTCCCACTGAAGTCCACTATATGGAGAAAAATCCTGTAATGTTTTCCTCAAAAACCTTAATTTCTATTCGACTGAAGAAAGAAAGACATGAACATCTTGACATAGGAATGAGTAAAATATCAGGAAATTTTAATTCTGGAGTGAACTAATCCTTTAAAGCAGCTCAATGAGAAACACGCATCTGATGAGGAATAATGTGCTACACTCCTAAAAATAAAGATTCTTTATTGGCATCTATGGTTTCATTGAAGAATCTTTACCATCCTATGGAACATTTTCATTACACAAAAGGTCCCTAATAGTGGAATAAATTGTTCTTTACACTAAGAAAAAAAGGTTCTTTAAAGAACTGTTCCCTGAAAAGTTCTTTATGGAACCAACTTTTTTTGCTGTGAAACCCCCCTTTTGGAACCTTATTTTTTAAAGTGCAGGGACTAAATGAGATGTATGAGATGACGTCAAGAAATCACGACAGAAATGCAAAACATTTCTCTCACCATCACTGGTGGAAGACTTGAGTCTCTGGCATAGGTCCTCTACATCTCCATAGCTGTCCTGAATTTTCTGCAAGGCCTCGGCTCCTCTCAGCTCCATCAGGGACCGGAGCTCCTCCAACGTAACCCCAAAGTCCCCAGCATGGTTGGCTTCTGCGCCTCCTCCACCCCGCTTGGGGTAAAACTCCACTGCGCTATTCGCCATCTCACCCATGGTCGCTGTGGTGGACATCTCGAGTCTTAGGTTGTTGGGTCCACGATGTTTGATCTATATGACTTCTTCTCGTCCAGGAGGTTTCAGCAACACGAGGTCAGTATTAGTGACGATTCTTGGCTCAAGTTTTTTGGTTTCGAATTTGCTCCTCCACTCCTCGCCCTCCCCGGTAGTTCCTCCCGTTCTTCTAACTCTCCATCAGAGGAAATCGGGACAACGACAGCCGGACACTTCTAACGTATTTGGAGAAATCCTGTCCTCTCCACTCAACCCCCTCGCCCCGAGGGTCAACAGAACGAGGGATCAGGCCGCTTCCAATCCATCAGGACACAGAGAACAAGAGCGAAGAGGGGGCGCAAAACCGAGCAGGATATTGTGTAGATCTGATGCGTTAGGATTCAAAGGGTGCGGGATGATGGGATTGGTGAGGAAGCCTGCAGAGACACACAGACAGAATAACACATTACAGTCTTCAAAGTGCTCGTGTGGGCAGCAACTCAGAGTACAGTGGGCATTCCTTAAGAGACGGAGCGAGCATGCAGTCAGACTGCTCCGAGCTAATGCTTTCAACTTATCAGCACATTTTCGCCTTAATTCAAAGGTCTTTTGTGTTTTAATTGAGTCACACACTTTCCTTACTCTCATTAATGAGGTATTAGACAGGTCTTGGCGATATTAATTATGCTAAACGGACAGGTCAGTCCATTTCGAGCGCAACACGACTAAAATCCCTGGACAGGTATAAAGTATGAGGAATGTGTGCTCTCACAGATGGTGACGCATATAACATATACGGTATCTCTAGCGATCCAGACCACTGCATTGGCCCATAGTTGCCATGGAAACCTACAGATGCCTCTGACTCCCACAAAGCTCCTTCGGCCTGGCTATACCCCGACACACACATATATACACTTGGTTCTTATTCACACTTGCTCACAAACACAAACGCCTCTACACTAGCACAGAGTTTCCTCTCTATCTCTATCATTTTGGCCCTAATGCCATCATCTTCTTTCTTCATCTTTCTTTTTTTCTCCTTCCATCTCCCAGCATGCCTCTGTATATGTCCCTATGTTCTCTTAGATGACAGTCTCAGCCTCAGACGGCACGCCCACAGACCACAGTTTATCGGGAAACAAAGTTGTGTTTAGGCACCAGGTAGATAAATATAGTTTTTAATCATTAAAATATATTTAAAATGTAAAAATGTATTTAATAATCCAATAAAAAATTTATTAAAAATTAAAAAATTTATTAATTAATAATTCAATAAAAATATAGAAATGAATAAATTTTTACATGCTTGTCATTATTGTGGAATAAATTAGTTCAGATAAACCTGCCCTGAATGACAAAAGGGGAAAATAGTTGGCAGTTTACATGTCGGTCAGGGTTTTTCATCAGTCTGTCTGGAGAAAAATTTGCCAGATCAGTGTAATCATTTCAAATCATTATAAATAATAAATTATATTAAATTATATATACTGTACATACATACAATCTAAAAAATGCTGGGTTAAATATAACCCAGCGCTGGGTTAAAAAGGGACAAACCCAGCTATTGGGTTGTTATGGGTTCAAAACAACCCAATAGCTGGGTTTGTCCATTTTTAACCCAGCATTTTTTAGAGTGTA